GAGCCGGTTTGCCCCCACAGGCATGCGGACTGCCTCAGATCTCCGTGCCGTCCCTTCGCCACCTCGCTACAATTCAAAGCCTACTAATCGTAAGGAACACAAGACATGTTCAAGGCAGAGCACACTGTTTGCCAGACTAAATTTTTCGTTCGTCAGGGGTGGTTTTAATCAAGACGAAGATCAAATATTCAGTCCTACTAACGTAAAAAAAATCTAAAAACGATTTATTTATTTGGAATTAGCTAATAATAATAGTAGGCCTAACCACCAAATACACTCCTTTAAAATATGACATTTAATTATTAACTGAAGACCAAATCCGAGGCAAATTCTATTGTTTTTTTTTAATTAGACTGTAGAAATGTTATCTTTTTCTTTGCCATAAAATAGTGACTCAGCCCACAACACACGACCCCAAAATGTTAATAAAATATAATTTCCTCAAATTCCATTTAACATTTCTTCTTTTATAGGCCCGCAAAGTTGAAGTCCCTTTACCAATCACAGAAAAGTCGAGCAAACAGCATATCACAAAGGTTCTAAAGCCAAACAAAGTGCTCGGTGCATTGATCTGTTTTGAGTTATAAATTAACTTAAAGAAGACAAAATGTTTGATAATTAAAGAAAAACACATTTATTTGGGGTTGTCCTTAATGTTTTGGCACATCGTCGGATGTACGCGTTGAGGTCAAAATTCAAGGCACCATTCAGAATGTTTGGGTTCATTGTCCATTTAAAACATTTAATAATTCTTCCAAATGCAATAAATTACATGCACACAATTTACACATTATACACGTTCTTCTAGGACTGCCATATCGATACATTGCATATTCCTCAAAAAAAAAAAATGTTAACACCAGTCCAATATAGGCCTACAACAAAATAATAAACAAATTTCAGTACAACGTTCCTGATCCGAGTGCCAACGAGTGCTGTAACGTGCCGGGTGCCTGAAGGTGAGAATTCATTGCCCCGGTGGAGGAATACCAGGACGAGCTGGCGCTTTCCAGAAACGTGGATGTCGGTGTGTTAATATTTTGCGGCTGATGGTGATGTCTCTGAGGACCCTGTGAGTCCCAGACCGCGGGAGACTGCGGTGAATTACACGCCATCGGGTCGCTGGAGCTCGGACTGTGTTCTGGAGGCAGTTCGCCGTTTTTCATGATCTTCTTTAGTTTGGATCTCTTGTTCTGGAACCAAATTTTCACCTGTGAAGAAACAAAAGGTTTTATGAGATCCTGAGTGCAAATTCCTGAATAAAGCGCAATGGCTGTTTCTGCCATATTTATACTCCTTAATAAAAAAAATATATATATTATGTCGTTAACATCGCTTAGGCCTATTATTTTAACAGCCTTTGAAAAATACTTTAGCCTAAATGTTAAACAAGCGTTTGTGACTCCCAACGTTGCCGCAAGCTCATATCAATATTTTAATTTCAAATATATAGGACTATTATTATTTGAGTAGGCCTATTACATAAAAGACATTACAATAAAATATTCAATAAAACATTGTCGAACCTGTGTCTGTGTGAGTCCCATCGATGCCGCGAGCTCGGCTCTCTCTGGAAGCGCGAGGTATTGGGTGTTCTGAAACCTCCTCTGTAGAGCAGCGAGCTGGAAACTGGAGTAGATGGTGCGGGGCTTCCGGACTTTCTTGGGTTTACCGTTGACCATCCTCACTTCGGGCTCGGCTGTTTCTTTTTCTAACGGGTGAACAAATATTTGATGAATACATGGGGATGGAAAAGCACTCCCTTGATTGTTGGTCATTTTTGCAGTGATTTAGCCTATGTCAAGTGTCGTATAGTGCTTTCAAATTGCTACTCGCATAAAGTTATTGAGACACTTGATTGTCAGAGAATAATTTCTTAAATATTTACGCATTTTAAATGCTTCTATTTTCTATGTAATCTATCGTTTTACGCATGTAGAGTTTTGTAAATGTATATATATATATAAAACATAGTAAATCGTTACCCATTTCGAATTAGATGCAATGCTACAGCAGTTTAAAATTTCGTCCAAATTAGTTACAAAATTCAGACCTTATAATAAAAAACAACTGTAATACCCTGGTTATATAATATGTTCAACAATAATGCTCAACCATGATAATGTTTATTATGTATAATAATAATAAACAATAATTATTATAAAAATAACAATAAATGAAAAAAATATACAATAACTAACCTTGCGGGCTCGGTTGTGACTGCACCCTATTATATGTTCCGGCATATTGGTGATATGCTGCAGAGTATGAGCCGTAATCAGGGTAGGATTTTGCAGGGTAATTTCCAGAAGATCCATTGACTCCGTGGTATTGGTACTGATAGGCATTAAAACATAGTAAATCGTTACCCATTTCGAATTAGATGCAATGCTACAGCAGTTTAAAATGTCGTCCAAATTAGTTACAAAATTCAGACCTTATAATAAAAAACAACTGTAATACCCTGGTTATATAATATGTTCAACAATAATGCTCAACCATGATAATGTTTATTATGTATAATAATAATAAACAATAATTATTATAAAAATAACAATAAATGAAAAAAATATACAATAACTAACCTTGCGGGCTCGGTTGTGACTGCACCCTATTATATGTTCCGGCATATTGGTGATATGCTGCAGAGTATGAGCCGTAATCAGGGTAGGATTTTGCAGGGTAATTTCCAGAAGATCCATTGACTCCGTGGTATTGGTACTGATAGGCATTAAGAGGTTTTCCATACGTGCCCGCGTTCGGTGAACAATAGCCATGATGAACTCCTCCAGCAGGGCTGTAATAGCCAGAATCCGTGGCTGTCGACTCCGGCAGGGTTGGAGATTCCTGAGATGGATGATGCATCGTGGAGAGCTGAAAAGGGTTTAGAAAATCTGCAGGTTTAATACTCGGAATCCTTCTGTCGAATACTCCAGTCATAGTTTGGATAAGACAACGTAAAAAGGCAGCCTAACTCTATAGGGGTCCACAGAGTCTACACTAACATCGTGTGTGCAAGCGTCTCTCTTGAAGACTGCTTTAAGCCCCGCAGCAAAGACTTGGTTAAATCCTAAATTGCGCTGTTACGCACTGCAGGGAGGATCTAGTGCCATTGGCCAAAGAGCGCAGCAGACGGCAGTTACTCCCCAACTCGTTCAACCAGTTTCAGAAGAACAAAAAACTTAATAGAGGTATTTATGGTATGTTTACAAAAAAATTGAAAGGGAAATGGATTATTATTTGATATAAATCCTTCACTGGACGAAAAAAAGACGGCTGCTGATCTATTCCATGTAAATCTTCCTCGCATGTAGCAAAAATGTCTGATTCCTTAAATATGTTTGGAACACAGTACTTTAAAGGCCGATATAATTACATATAGCCTACATATATTGTTTTGTTTAGTTATATCCTCTACGTTCTACGGATTAAACAGTTTTGTGTGTGTTTGTATAGGATATTCGTCTGTTAATCTACATATCAATTTGCATATTTGTAACCAGAATATGCTCTTATTTTCAGATGACAATAATTTACCATTAAACACTAAATCAAATCATATGATTTGATCTATATGTCCATCTGTGTCAGCAGCGGGTGCTTGAGAATTATTTATGGCAGCAATACATGAAAAGGCCTACTTATAGCAATGAGTGTGCCTGATTTCATGATAATGACACAAATCTGTGCAATATAATTTAACGACTCAAAATTTTGCTAGTTTGTACTATTATTGTTCCTTAAATGTTAATGAAAATCATTGTCTAGCAAGCATTCAGTGAGGTAGTCAGCAATAGTGGTGAAATGGTGCCACCAAGTGGAGATAAATCAATAAACTCATGGTAGTCCGAGTTTCTTCACATCTGTTATCCATCTTCAAACAAGACAATGGCCACTGTAACAGTGCATTAATGCAGGTGTTGACTAGCCATAGGCCTAAATGATGAGGAAAAATGTCTAACCTGACAAACTGACAGTCTAGTAAGAAATCAGTGGTTAGTGGTTTAAGGTTTAATCCCCTTGTCTGATCATACGATTAAACAAAAGGCCTAATGATTCTGTACAATCTAATGAATTATGTTTGACCAAAACATGTATGAACAAAAACAGTTTGGAGGAGTTTGGTACAACCAAAAAAAAAAGTAAATAAATCCAATTTACACATTAAAAATTCATTGGTGTAAAGCAAATGTTATGTCAATAGTTTGGTCTCCATAGTTAATTAAGTATATTTTAAGTATATTTTATGTATAAGAATATTTAAAATATCCTAATATTTGAATGCTTAATCAAATGATAACCCACCCTCGGGGTCAGAAAAAAATGACAAATTTTGTGTCATTGTTTTGTGAAACAAATTTCCCCTATTTAAAATGTGTTTCTGACACTGCCCAGCCTTATTAATAAAAGATGATAAGTTAATAAATCCACAAAATAGGCTACATTGTGTGATACAACAGAATAACACAACTGCGAGAAATAACAAAACAAAAAAAAACATATATAATAAATATAACAAAATAAATTTGTTTTTGCAAATTTACAAAACCTTTCACATTCATATATGCCACAGCACAGGAGCTGCTGAAACAGTTCTACTCCGGCATCATTGAATCTGTCCTCTGCACTTCAATAACTGTCTGGTTCAGCTCAGCTACCAAATCTGACCTCAGAAGACTACAGAGGGTAGTCCGGACTGAAATTTTTATTATCTGTATTTTTTGTTCTGTCACTGTCATTCTGTTACACTGTGGAAGCTTCTGTAACGAAAACAAATTCCTCGTGTGTGTAAACATACCTGGCAATAAAGCTCATTCTGATTCTGAAATATTTTTTTTTAAATATTCTCTAAACAAAGCCGGAAATGACGTACCATGACCACCAGTCTTATTTAGACGTTGTTCAATTAAATGTAACGAATGTTGTGATACTGCTTTTGGTACATTTGAATAAATACATTAAATAAAACATAAGGCGACGCGGGAGATACCTCACATAAATGCGTCTATGTGCTTTCGCTTTGAAGCAGTGAGAGAGTGTGAGTGTCGGGTAAATAGGCGCTCGTGTGGTGAGGGGGGATGGGATGGGGCCACTCCGAGCTCTCGTTCTCCCCTAATTCAGCGCGCTCATTATTCTCACTTTTCTCCTTTATATCGATGCTGTTTTAAAATAAAATTCATCTTTCCCGTTACCGCATGTGTTACGTGGCATCAGAAAAGCAAAAGGTATCGATCTGCGACTGAACTGTGGTGCAGAGAGCGTTTAAAATGTATCCCGTTGGAGCAGCTGGTGGTGAGTATTGTGATCAGCGAGCGTGCTAGCGACGAGATGCAAGCTGAATAAGTGTGGGGTTTTTGTTAAAGATAAAAATGTAGTTTAATATTGTTCGGTTGCCCATGACACCAGTGTTCAAATATTTATTTTTAGCTTATAGTACTTTAGTCTTATTTTCCATCTCTGTCGATGGTTTGTTTTGTAGGCCCATTGTTGTTGTTAGCTTGCTAGCTAAGCTTATTGACCTGCTGGCTTTTGAATTTACAGCCGCTTGTTAAACTCCTATGCGCGTCAATCTTAAAAACGTTAACAGCACGTACTTTCTAACTATTTTAGGTTTGGAGATACTGGCGCAGTTTAGAGGTTTCGGTCTAATTGTTTTATGTGAGTTTTAGACGTTCTAACGTTGGTAGTTTGGCACCAGTTTGACTTTCTCCAGCTAGCCAGGTACTGAAAGTTACTAACTAAAGTTCTAGTTAATAAGTTAATTATTCTGCTTCCAAATTTTGCAAATGGTTTCTGTCGATTTGTAACACTGTTATATATTTACACTGTTATATATTTGCACAGTCGCGATGTTCAGCTAAAGTTGACTGTCTACCCAAATTATGAATGCAACATTGTTGTTGTTAGTGTTCGAGTTTATGAGAGGTGTGTTATGTATCCTCATTACATTTCAGAAAAGTATTGAAACTTTTAAAAACGCAGTTCAAACATTTTAAGAAAAACCGTAAAACTACAGAACTTGTTCAAGTCATAAACTTACATGAAGGGACCTATTGTTAACATTAGTTTTCTGCATTAGTAAACATGAACTTAAAATGAACACTGCTTCTACAGCATTTATTATTCTTAGTCGATGTTCATTTTAACGTCCTCCTAATATAGTTTTAAAATCAAGTTGAATTTGTTAACATTAGTTATCGTACTGTTGTTTTATTAACAAATATTAAGGGATGCTGTAAAAAAAATACTTATAGTTGTTAATTTATGTTAGCAAATTTTAAAGAATGGGAACTTATTGTAAAGTGTTACCACTTAGGTTTCATAAAGTGATGAGTTTGTTGTATTATGTCTTGTTGATATGTGTGAGGCATCTGAAATGGTGATATAAAGAAAAGCAGTTGCTGTAGTTCAAAGAAAAGACATCCTGGTACTTGAGTGTGTGGGAGAGTTTGGCAGGTTGTTGAGTTGCTTGTGTGGTGTTGGTGATAAGGAGGTAAAAGGCCTGTTGCCCAGTGGGATGGGTTCATGTCCCTAGTATCTTGCTGCCGTGTTTTTAGGGTTGATACAATGGGGTGAGACAGTTCATGGAATCTGTCAGTAAAATACTTCAGATACCCACAGCCTTCTTGTACATTGAATGTTTTTCACACATTTAACACTATTGCATTAACTTGACCTGTTTTTTCCCCAAATCAACAACCCTGTGTGTCCCAGTTTTATTGTATGCTAGACATTTGTAATCAACTAAGCACAGTCGCGATGTTCAGCTAAAGTTGACTGTCTACCCAAATTATGAATGCAACATTGTTGTTGTTAGTGTTCGAGTTTATGAGAGGTCATTTTAGTGTGTTATGTATCCTCATTACATTTCAGAAAAGTATTGAAACTTTTAAAAACGCAGTTCAAACATTTTAAGAAAAACCGTAAAACTACAGAACTTGTTCAAGTCATAAACTTACATGAAGGGACCTTTTGTTAACATTAGTTTTCTGCATTAGTAAACATGAACTTAAAATGAACACTGCTTCTACAGCATTTATTATTCTTAGTCGATGTTCATTTTAACGTCCTCCTAATATAGTTTTAAAATTGAAGTTGAATTTGTTAACATTAGTTATTGTACTGTTGTTTTATTAACAAATATTAAGGGATGCTGTAAAAAAATACTTATAGTTGTTAATTTATGTTAGCAAATTTTAAAGAATGGGAACTTTTTGTAAAGTGTTACCACTTAGGTTTCATAAAGTGATGAGTTTGTTGTATTACAGTGGGTACGGAAAGTATTCAGACCCCCTTAAATTATTCACTCCTCATTTACTATACCAGGCACTATGAATACGCAAATTAGCCCCTAAATACAAAAAAATTGTATCTAAATACAAATAAATAAGCGCTAACGGCACATGACATCGTGAAAATAGGGGGAAATATTAACAATTGGCAAAACACCTACAGAAAAAAATATAACTGTTACCGGATTAACCTTGCTGCCTTCTCACTAGACCCTCTGCTTTGCAGCACAGTTAATGATATGCTAAGGATAGGATCCCTTGACGCGATTGGTTATTGAATTTTGTGACGTAGCAAAACAAAGGCTGTTTCAAACCGCGTTTCTGTGACTGCCTTTGGGAAACTACCGTTTTAAGGAGAAAATACTCCGCAGTGGTGTTGATAAATGGATTGGCACATGGTTTGTCTAAAAGCATTTTAAAAACAACACAGACAAATAACCAACATAAAAAAATCAGATTTTCACTACAGGGGGACTTTAAGGAAATTTCCGTATGTATTTTTTTGTTTACAGGTGTTTAAGCTGTATTTAAAATTTTGCACTTAAGTGCGTTGTGTTTTAGGGTTAACAGAAATGTTTGTAAAAATTAATGGATGATGTCCTGGCAGAAAATTACTATAAATTATTAATATTCAGTACAACAATGTGAGATATTGCTTTTCGATAGTTAAGCAAAAATGAAGTTGATAGCAAGTAAGTAACTTTTCAAACTAAAGCTGACCAGTTAGTTTCTATATAGGAAAATGAAGATGTTATGTAAGGTGGGGTGTTTGAGTTTGTGGCACAGCAGAGCTCTAATAGTCTTACCTAAATGTTTGTGTGTGCCTAATTAATAGGTTTAAGTTGCTCAGAGGTCCACTGAACTAAAAATGGACATTTCTAGCTTAAAATAATGGACATGGTCCAAAAAAGGTAATGTTTCTAATTTATGTATAAAAAAAAAAAAAATGTAAAATTGTTTGTGTGTGTCCCATAGCTCCCCTGTCTCCTCCAGCACAAGAGTATGTCTTCAAACCACCTCAACGGCCAGACTTTGGCACAATGGGTAGGACAATCAAACTTCAGGCTAACTTCTTTGAAATGGAAATACCCAAGTTGGAGGTGTACCATTACGACATAGACATCAAGCCTGAGAAATGCCCACGGAGAGTTAACCGGTAACATCTTTTGACTGAAACTTGAAATTTCAACTGTTTGATTGGGAAGAAATATATACTTACTTTTTTTTTGTAGTGAAATCGTTGAGCACATGGTCCAGCACTTTAAGACGCAGATCTTTGGAGATCGAAAGCCTGTGTATGATGGAAGGAAGAATCTCTACACTGCCATGCCTTTACCCATTGGAAGAGACAAAGTATGCACTAGTAAAGTAATAATAAATCTGTGTTGGCTTTGTGATGTTCACATTTGATAGAGCAGTCACTGAAATATGTTTTACTCTGTACCTACTCAAAATGCTTTATTGAAGTCTTTTTACATTTTATGGAGTGTCACATCATACTGATGTCTCAAACTGTTCTTTTAGGTAGAGCTGGAGGTCACAATTCCAGGGGAGGGAAAAGACAGGAGCTTTAAAGTAGCTATAAAATGGGTGTCCTGTGTGAGTCTGCAAGCTCTACATGAAGCACTGACTGGACGGCTACCAAACATCCCCTTTGAGACTATTCAGGCTCTGGACGTTGTCATGAGACATTTGCCCTCTATGAGGTTAATGGCTGTGTTTTGTTGACACTGTTTTCCATATCACTGTTAGGGGGCCTCATACTTCATCCTTCTGCACACTGTGCTGTTTTAACACGTTATTGTTGTGTCTGCAGGTACACTCCAGTCGGACGTTCTTTCTTCACTCCCTCTGAGGGCTGCTCCAACCCCCTCGGTGGAGGAAGAGAAGTTTGGTTTGGCTTCCATCAGTCTGTGCGACCATCCCTCTGGAAGATGATGCTCAACATTGATGGTCAGTGTGCACTGACATCATTTGCATTAATAAATGTTTCTTGAAACTTTCTTATACAAATCTTTGTTTTGTAATATTTATATTTAGTGTCTGCCACTGCATTCTATAAAGCTCAACCTGTGATTGAGTTCATGTGTGAGGTTTTGGATTTTAAAAGCATCGAAGAGCAACAGAAGCCCTTAACAGATTCCCAGAGAGTGAAGTTTACCAAGGAAATCAAAGGTGATTCATTACAGTAATTAATGCCATCCCTAATTATTTTTATGGACTTAATTTTTGAACACTGATTTCTTTTTTTACCTATCAGGTCTGAAGGTTGAAATCACTCACTGTGGACAGATGAAGAGAAAATACAGGGTTTGTAATGTGACTAGGAGACCAGCCAGCCATCAAACGTAAGATGTTTTAAATGGCTGGAGCTCTTTCTGTATGAATGCCAATGCATTTTATATTCCTCATTTGGATGACGCAGCGTTAAAGGTCAATGCTTTAAAAATGTATTTTGCTTGTCTCCAGGTTTCCTTTGCAGCAAGAGAATGGTCAGACCATTGAATGCACTGTTGCCCAGTACTTCAAGGATAAGTACAAACTGGTGCTGCGATATCCACATCTCCCATGTTTACAAGTTGGTCAGGAGCAGAAACACACCTACCTTCCGCTGGAGGTTGGTCAAGACCACATCCTAGGCTTACTTTTTTCCACCCATCTTTCTCTCATTTCTTTCTCTGAATGTCGGTTTCCTTTTTTTTTTTTTTTTTTAAATGCAGGTCTGTAACATAGTAGCCGGACAGAGATGCATCAAGAAACTGACAGACAATCAGACCTCCACTATGATACGTGCCACAGCCAGGTCTGCGCCTGACCGTCAGGATGAGATCAGCAAACTGGTATGTGCAGCTCTCTTATCCTTTTTCAGTCTTCTAAATCTCATCCACACCTCATGATGGATTTCATTTGGTTGTGACAGATGAGAAGTGCCAACTTCAACACCGATCCTTATGTGCGTGAGTTTGGAGTTATGGTAAGAGACGAGATGACTGAGGTCAATGGTCGGGTCCTTCAGGCACCTTCAATTCTATATGGTGGAAGGGTAGGAACCTGTCCTGATCAACTTGACGTTTATCTTGCCAACCTTGTCATTGAATTCCAATCTGGATGTGTCTTCCTAATTTGGTCCTGTCTCTCTGGCTTTTTTCAGAACAAAGCAATAGCAACCCCAGTCCAGGGTGTGTGGGACATGAGGAACAAGCAGTTCCACACAGGGATTGAGATCAAAGTGTGGGCTATTGCCTGCTTTGCCCCGCAGAGGCAGTGTACAGAACTTCTTCTGAAGTAAGTCAGCTTTGACCTGGATCTGGAGAAGTATTTGTATTTGGTGGAATTAAAAAAAAAAATTCAGACCCTTGCTTGGTTGAATCCTTTGTTTGTTTTCTCCAGGGCGTTTACTGACCAGCTTCGTAAGATATCACGTGATGCTGGCATGCCCATTCAGGGCCAGCCGTGCTTTTGCAAATATGCCCAGGGAGCAGACAGTGTGGAGCCCATGTTCAAACACCTCAAGTACACTTACCAAGGCTTACAGCTGGTGGTTGTCATCCTACCTGGGAAGACCCCTGTTTATGGTAATTTACCTTCTCTTGGTTTCTTTAGTGTTTTTGTTTGCAGTGTGTTTGTAATAGGGATGCACCGGTATCAGGCCCGATACTGAGCTCCTGTACTCGTACTCGTTAAAATGCCCCGATACCAAACACCGATACCACACAGCATGTGATAAGTGCCATATTCAGACAAAGAAACACCGACAACAGACAGCAGAATGGAGTTATTAGAGATTAAAGATGTCTACGAAGTATATGTATGCAATAAATAAAACATTCAGTATTAATGCCTTTATAGCTGATTTGTGCCAGCTCATAAGCAAATCACGCTGAGTGGATTGAGCGCGCGGCGGCGCAGATGCGCAAGCTTGTCCATTGAATATCCCTTTCTCACAGACATCACTGGCAAGTTTGTAGTTCGGTCGGATATGTCAAAAAGTACAAACCCAATTCCAAAAAAGTTGGGACACTGTACAAATTGTGAGTAAAAAAGGAATGGAATAATTTACAAATCTCATAAACATATATTTTATTCACAATAGAATATAGATAGCATATCAAATGTTGAAAGTGAGACATTTTGAAATGTCATGCCAAATATTGGCTCATTTTGGATTTCATGAGAGCTACACATTCCAAAAAAGTTGGGACAGGTAGCAATAAGAGGCCGGAAAAGTTAAATGTACATATAAGGAACAGCTGGAGGACCAATTTGCAACTTATTAGGTCAATTGGCAACATGATTGGGTATAAAAAGAGCCTCTCAGAGTGGCAGTGTCTCTCAGAAGTCAAGATGGGCAGAGGATCACCAATTCCCCCAATGCTGCGGCCAAAAATAAAACAATGCACAAATTACTTAATGGTTGGTAGGGAGGGAGAGAGAGAGAAAGAGCGTTTGCATGAACCCTGATGACAGCATGCCCAGGAGACTATATGATGTCATTAAGGCTAAGGGTCACCCGACAAAGTATTGATAGTTATATAAATATTGACAGCTGTATGAATAATTTTTGGTTTATTGTAATCCATTACATACCTTTCTATCAAAGTTATCTGACATAATCAAGCTGAATTTGTTCTGGCACAGTTTAACTCTGAGTTCTTATCATATTTTATTACCATTTTCTAAACTATAGTAAATAAACTGTGATAATGTGAGAGATGTTGTAGGTGTCTGAATAAATTTTTGTTTGACTATCTATTTGATAAATTAAGTTAACCAACTAACATTAAACATACTCTTTTTGTTTCTGTACCCAATATTTAAAAAATGTATCGGGCGAGTACTGGAAAAAGTGGTATCGCTAGTTTGTAAAGTTGTAACATTCTAAACGCTGTCAATTCTCATAGCTGAGGTGAAGCGTGTTGGAGACACTGTTCTTGGCATGGCCACGCAGTGTGTCCAGGTGAAGAATGTACAGAAGACCACACCTCAGACCCTTTCCAACCTTTGCCTCAAGATTAATGTCAAACTGGGTGGAGTCAACAACATTCTTCTTCCACAGGGCAGGTAAGGGCACCTTTTTTGAAAGCCTTTGACGTGCAGAAAGCTTAAGGCACTTTTCTGATTCAGGTTTGTTAATGCCTGGGCTGCTTTCCCATGAAATTTGACCGGAAAGTACAGCTATTGTTTTTGTCTTTAGGCCCTTAGTGTTTCAGCAACCAGTCATCTTTCTGGGTGCAGATGTGACTCATCCACCAGCTGGAGATGGCAAGAAACCTTCAATTGCTGCTGTAAGCCTGACAAGCCTCTGATATTTTAAGGCTGATTATGTTAATTGCATAGTGCCAAGTAGCATTAATACCACAAGTGTGACCAGTCTACTACTTGTACACAATTTTAAGCCATATCATATAATCTCAAAAGTCTTTAATAAGGCTTTTAACATCTCAGAGCTAGGGGGCCCTCTAGATAATAATATTTATTTTATATAGGTTGTAAAGCTATAGATATGTTTTGCTTATATAGGTTATATCATATATAGATATATGTAGATCTGTATAGGATATATGTTTAGATACCTTTTTATGTTTTGTGTACATGCCCATGTTTGTTCATATGTTTACCTGAGTAGCACCGTGGACCTGTGAGGCATGATGACATTTCATCCATCTGTATGTCTCCACATATGGCAGAGTGATAATAAAGCTCACTTGACTTGACTTGATGATAAAAAAGCTAATTGTTTTTTTATATATAATATTTAGGTTGTTGGCAGTATGGATGCCCACCCAAGCCGATACTGTGCTACGGTGCGGGTGCAGCAGCACCGTCAGGACATCATTCAGGATCTGGCCACCATGGTGAGAGAGCTGCTGATCCAGTTCTACAAATCCACACGCTTTAAACCAACGCGCATCATCTACTACAGAGACGGCATTTCAGAGGGCCAGTTCAACCAGGTAGTTTGCAGGCATGCACTTTTTTTTTTTTTGCCAACGCTTGCTGACTGGTGCTAACTCATTTAATTTAATTTTCAGTCTCCTGTTTTGTCTATGCAGGTTCTACAGCATGAACTGCTGGCTATTCGTGAGGCCTGCATCAAGCTGGAGAAAGATTATCAACCAGGCATCACCTTCGTAGTAGTGCAGAAGAGACACCACACCAGGCTCTTCTGCATGGACCGGAATGAGCGGGTTGGTTAATGCACAGGATTTTATCTCTATCCACCTTGTTTTTCAATGCGGAAGTAAGTCGTTTTCTGTGAATGTGCGAGACTTCCGATTCATTAGCCGCTTTAGGGAAATAACGAGAAGAATAACGTGCAGTAAATGGTAAAATTGTATGCACTACAAACCAGTGTGTTCATAATTAAGATAATACATTAAAATAATAAGGTACACTAGTTTGCAATATCAAACAGCAAAACAAGCTGTTTTGTACAGCTAAAAATAGCTGGAAGCGGGTGAGACCGGAAGCCAGACATAAAATTTACAAATGGCCGCGCACACTCTTACGGGAAAAATAAGGTGGATACAGGAGTCCCTCAAAGGAAAATAAAAAGCAAGGAGTACACAAAGTTTGTATGATTGTAAACCGTGCTTAGTATGTTTTAAGAGAACTTCCTGCATGGGAAGTATACCAGTGAGAAATGTGGTTATTGCAAACATCTTGTGAATCAGAAAAGCCTTCGCTCTTTTCATTGGTAAAGAATAATTTTTCTAGAATTTAGTTACAAGCACATGTCCTTGAGGAAATAATGTTTGTTAAATTATGTCCTTTTCTGTCGGTTTTTTTAAATGTCTTTTAAATTTGCCTTTCAAATTTGCTGTTTATATTCTTCAAGGTTGGAAAGAGTGGCAACATCCCTGCTGGCACCACAGTTGACACCAAAATTACTCATCCATCCGAGTTTGACTTTTATCTTTGCAGTCATGCCGGAATTCAGGTACCATTGAATATTTCAAATAGAATACCAATGAAAGATCTATAAAGAATTCATAGACTTATTATATAAAGTGAGTGCATATGAATGCTTTATTCCTAGTTATCAGGTACCTAAAAGAATGGAGGTCAATTGGCTTTAGTGTTGATGATAATTATGCTTGTCTAGAGTGTCATTTCGGTTCTTCATAATTGCTGAATCTCCACAGGGTACCAGCAGGCCGTCCCACTACCACGTGCTGTGGGACGACAACCATTTCACCTCTGATGAGCTGCAGGTCCTCACCTACCAGCTGTGCCACACCTACGTGCGCTGCACTCGCTCGGTCTCCATTCCTGCACCAGCCTATTATGCCCACCTGGTGGCATTCCGTGCTCGATACCACTTGGTTGACAAAGAACATGACAGGTAACAGGGTCTTACTAACTTGGACGGAGTAAATTACATGATTTTATTACAGAGTAAAAATTATCCTATTTTTGTTTTTGTTTTATATTTTGTGAACCTAGATTGTCCAAGCTGTTATTATATTGAACAAGAAACATTATAACATGTAGAGAAGGCTATATAGCCCTGTTTAGTATACATTTTCTTTGGGCTGCAACATCCTGTCTCTGCTCTATACAGTATGCTAAAATAAGTCCTCAATGCTTACAACTCAGTTTATTCACATTTATTTCCTTACACAGCTGGATGTGACTTTTTTTTTTTTTATAATGCGAGACCTTATTCATTGTTATTATCCCAATAGATCTGATTTATGTGTGTGTTGTAATTTTTTGCTGGCAGTGCTGAGGGCAGTCACACATCAGGTCAGAGTAATGGCAGAGACCATCAAGCCCTGGCCAAAGCTGTGCAGATCCACCAGGACACACTGCGCACCATGTACTTCGCCTGAACATTGCCAGAAACAAGCCCCACATCCTGAAAACAGCACGGTGTGTGTGTGTCTGTGTATTTTTGTATGTTTGCCTCAATTGTATAAATGAGAACCTTCAAACGGGGGAAAAGAAACAAGAATCGCCATGCTGTTAGGTTTCCAATTGCCCATGTAGTCAATTTCCAAACATACTAAATATCCATGATTTTTAGAACTGTAATATGTGAAATTTTTTTTTTCGGTTTGGTTTAGTGGGCATGGTTATGTGTCTCTGTTGTACATGTGCATGTCAGATTAGAGGTTAACATCTTTACATAGTCAATCCAAAAATTCAAACAATTTTTACACTGAAAGGTTACATTTGCTTGATCCAATACTGTCATCAAGGCTGGTGATGGAGACTGTTGAACAGTAGTTTTTACAAATTCATCAAACCAATGGGTTCGGGTTAGTTTAGGACAACACTGATCAGGTTTAGGGGTTGTAGGGATGCAGTTTCCACAGCTAAATTATTTATCAGCAAAAGCAAGTGCACTGACCAGATGGGGACTTCAGGACAAAAGTACTTATCCTGTTTTGTTTTGTTTTGTTTATTTGTGCTAATATGAATTTTTTTATCGTGGTGTCATTTACTGTTCAGTCCATGGCTCAGTCATCCTACTGTACCAGTCCGCCAATTACATGACCGACCACACACTATCATGTGCTTATATCATGAAATTTGAACACAGTATGTGCAGAATCAAGAATGCATTTGGAAGTGAGAATATAGGAATTGTTCTGACAATCAGTTTTCTGCCGCTCATATGAGACTGGTTATGGCAGAGACCATCAAGCCCTGGCCAAAGCTGTGCAGATCCACCAGGACACACTGCGCACCATGTACTTCGCCTGAACATTGCCAGAAACAAGCCCCACATCCTGAAAACAGCACGGTGTGTGTGTGTCTGTGTATTTTTGTATGTTTGCCTCAATTGTATAAATGAGAACCTTCAAACGGGGGAAAAGAAACAAGAATCGCCATGCTGTTAGGTTTCCAATTGCCCATGTAGTCAATTTCCAAACATACTAAATATCCATGATTTTTAGAACTGTAATATGTGAATTTTTTTTTTTCGGTTTGGTTTAGTGGGCATGGTTATGTGTCTCTGTTGTACATGTGCATGTCAGATTAGAGGTTAACATGTTTACATAGTCAATCCAAAAATTCAAACAATTTTTACACTGAAAGGTTACATTTGCTTGATCCAATACTGTCATCAAGGCTGGTGATGGAGACTGTTGAACAGTAGTTTTTACAAATTCATCAAACCAATGGGTTCGGGTTAGTTTAGGACAACACTGATCAGGTTTAGGGGTTGTAGGGATGCAGTTTCCACAGCTAAATTATTTATCAGCAAAAGCAAGTGCACTGACCAGATGGGGACTTCAGGACAAAAGTACTTATCCTGTTTTGTTTTGTTTTGTTTATTTGTGCTAATATGAATTTTTTTATCGTGGTGTCATTTACTGTTCAGTCCATGGCTCAGTCATCCTACTGTACCAGTCCGCCAATTACATGACCGACCACACACTATCATGTGCTTATATCATGAAATTTGAACACAGTATGTGCAGAATCAAGAATGCATTTGGAAGTGAGAATATAGGAATTGTTCTGACAATCAGTTTTCTGCCGCTCATATGAGACTGGTTCTCATCAGTGACTCCCTCCATTTACCTGTGCCAGAGTTCTCGGTGCGGAAACAGCTCTGTAATATGGATAATTGTCTTGAAAAGTACTAATATCTTGGGGCTCTAAGCATTTAGATGATGAGATGATCTTGTGCGTACTTTAAATTCTAAATTCCATGAGCATTTCTCTTTTTTTTGTTCGCTGTGATTGTAACCTAAGGTTTCAGTGGGTTGGGTTTATGAGTTAAATTTCAAAAACTCCCTTGAAGAAAAAAATACCATCACTTTTCACTTTAAGCACCTGTTCTGAAATTTTCATTTTGATGTTGTCAAAAATCTTCCCCACATTGAAACACAAAGCCAGTTTTGTGCTGAATATTGGGGAATCTGAAGCTCTGTGATTTGCTTGGTTCTGTGCGCTGTTTCCAACAGTGAAGTTTGACTGTACCATGCTGGCATACAGGCAAGCACGACTTTTTTTGTAAAGAATAATACACATACAATTGCATTGAAACAAAATCAGAGTGAAAATTCAAATGCACATTAGTTTTTTTTTTGTTTGTTTGTTTTTTTTACCAGGAATCTTGTTTATGACATAGAGATTTCCATGAGAATATTACAAATCCCTTTTTGAACACTCAAGATCCATTTTTGTTTAGATATTTAAACCTAAAATCTTGTGAAATCCAGTTTTTCTTTTAGAGACCTTTTGTAGAGTCACAGGGTTGGGCCATTAGGTGAGTGGTTGTTAGCTTTTTATTGCTTAACAAAATAGAAAATTTTATTTAGTTTGAATCCAAACTTATTTCAAATTGAAGGGCAATACATTGTATATGTGTTGGTAAACTGTTTTCATGTAAACAGTCTTATCCCTTCTAAAGCATATCAGGATGTGTAGCGATTGATTGAGTCTTGTTAGTTAATTAACTGTAAGATCGCTTCCCCAAATAATTCTTCAATTTTAACTTGAAATTTGGAAAAAACGGGAATTTTTAACCATCTTTTTCTAACTATGCATTCTTAACCAAGAGATTTTAGTGGTATGTTTGTGTATATGAATTATAAATATAGAACATTTGTAATGTAGTCATTTTCATGCTGGGTACTTTTAGTAGTGTAAATAGTGCAAACCCTGTACCCACTGTAGCAGTATTAGCTTACAAAATACTCTATTTTTATTATCAACAATTGGATGTTCTTTATATGGCTCTCAATTATTCCTGTTAGCTGAACAAGATTATGTACTTGTAGTTAATATCCTACCATAACTGAAGAACAATAGGACATTATAATTGTAGGTGCTAGAGTTTATTCTTGAGACTACCATTTCTTTTAATATCTTGTTTAACTTCAGCTTTTAAACAAGAATCACAGACTGGTCAGAGAGCTTAATGAGAATGTTTGGTTTTTGATCTGGTGAAATCTATGACTTTGGACCCTGAAACCCTGACCCTCATTTTCTAAACCCAACAGACTGTGTATAAGGGGCATTTTAATTTATCTTCAAATACTTGACTAGAGTTATGTTGTTATTTGGCGCTGATCGTGTAACTCGTGACAGTAGATGCACTTTGAAGAGCAAGTGCTCATCTGGATCATGAGTATGTTATCTGGGTGCAGTTGTGTGGAAATGACTAGATGTCCTACCTCTTGTTACCTGTTACTTGTATTATGGTAACATTACCGCACTGGTCATTTCCTCATAATTGCACTAATAGGAAACGTCATCTTTTCGTCCCTCTGAAAGTGAAAGTGGTTGATGTCACAGAAAATCTTGAACACTTGCTCCAAAATGGCATCTATAATTGATATTTGTTAAGAGGCCATACCTGCTGCCATTTAGCCTGGATGATTTAGCATTGCTGTTGTTTTATTATGGTAGTTTTAAGCTATGTATTGAAAGCTACAATTGAGTTCTGCAAGTTTCAGATGTCAAACATTTGATGTTTCATAAGTCCGACATGAATCCAAAAGATTATTAAATGCTTTCCGTGAATAAGTGGCTTTATGCTTTAAATGTGCACCGCAAGCTATAAAAATGTTCATAAATGTATAGTGAATTCCAGTTTTATTATTTTCTCTCCTTTTTAAATTGCAGCACATTGTCGCTTTAGCCATATACTTGTTTGAATGTGTTACGTAGTTTTCCTCTTTTTCTTAACATTAGGTTAGAATAATAGTATTTATGATTTAACATCAGCAACATGAGGTGAAATCATTGCTCAAACTGCTACTTGGATATTCTCTGGAACAATCTTAATTTTTTTACTTTTTAACCATATTTTCATCCTCATGACCTGCTTTAGTTAGATGATTTTTAGAAGTTACTGAGTTTTTAGTATTTTAACCTGTTTGAAATCAGCACCTTAGGCAAAGGTCTACAACATATGCAATTTCTCAAGTATGAAATATGAGATGTTTTTGCACTATATCAGAAGAGGTGTTACTAATTTGCATACTGGTGGACAGATTGTTATAGAGAGATTATAGAGAAGAACTATCAATATTAGTATAGTCTTGGCATTGTTTTTTTCTTCATATACCATCATATTGGCACTAATATATTAGAAATTGACAGATGTAAGAAGGTCTTGAGTTCTTACACTATGCAAAAACTCATTTCCATTCAGAGCCGTCTCTCTGTTTGTATATAGGGGTCAGATTGTCAGATTTTGTCTGTGAAATGTCATGCATACCAAATTGAATTAGAGACTTGAGTGAACGGAAGTCCCACTTGTGTGTTTTCCCATTCTCTCTTTCCACAATATCAGCTGTTGTTTTTAATAAGGGCATAAGGAATCTGATGCAAATGTTTGATTAAAATAAGTCTATTCAAATATCCGTGAATGCAAATGTAATGGAGGCCAAGGATTAAGTACAGTGCTGGTTTTGTTGAGATTGTCACGTTATAATCTATGCTGCAGCATCTCTGTTTCAATTCTTAAGAGGCACATATAGTGTTAACTGAAAATTGAAATGGTGCCTCAATTTCCCTTGAATTATTTATCAATGTTATGCCATTAACTTTGTCTCTTGCGTCATCATTTCTAGACCATTGTCTTTTGCTGCTTGTATATTGCTTGGCGAAGTATCTTTCCAGCTCTGTGTGGGGTTACAGTGTCCTCTTCGCTTTACACCTTATAGTTTGAATAAAACTAGTCAATTTAGGTTAGATTCTTTGCTGGTGCCCCGATTACTTTGAGATTTTATTTTCAGAAACTTTTTTTTTTTATTCAAGCCAGACAAAAATGCCAGTCTCATCAAAAGAATTTTGCCCCTAGCTTGGTGATCAGAGGTGGTCTTTTAACTAGATATATTACTAATGTATTTGCATTAGAACTTTTGCACTATAGTGTTCTGAAACCGAAATGTAAGCCTACATACCATGGTAGTTTTGTTACTGTACTTAATGCTTTTTAATTCCTAAGGTGGCAAGTTTCAAAGATGCTACCTTATGACCTGCTAAAACCATGAGGATAAAAACGAACAGTTTGAATGTACTTCATACACCTGCATACTGGTTAAGAACATCCACATTATTTTCATCTGTTTGCTCCACTTTGTTTTATGCATGCACGTTTAAAGCAGCATTGAATCATTGGGCTTATATCCATGCATATTTCAAACTGTATCTCACCATTCATGGTTGTGATGTACTAAATTATCAGATATGGGCAGCTTATTCAGAATACACACTGGCACAAAGATCTTTGTATCGCTGACGTTTGTGGTGCTGTACTGTAAAAAGTGTACATAAGGCAATGTTTTGGTGTTTCGTGTTTTTTTGCCATGTACTGCTTGTATTTTTGCCGGAATTTTCAACTCGAGTTTCATACAAAGGGTTTTTGAGCTACACCCATGTTCATATATCAACCCAATAAGCCAAATTGACTTTCATTGAAGCCCTTTTGCTTTACCAGCAAACACTCTGTGGTGGTCCCATAATCATGACAGTGGTACTTGCTGAGCCTCAGTTCATTGTGTGCACAAACTAAACCTCTACTCAGTTTCATCAGGTCAGTTGCCATTCAGCTAGTTGTTTTATTGGGGTATGATGGCATACAAGTGTTTCAAAACACTTTTAGGATTCCCCCCCCCCCTTCTAAGTCCTAAACTAGTTTTAAAACTAGTCTGAAATGACCAAAATTGAAGCTTGTTGTGAGGGATAAAAATATTGCAAAGTATTGTTAAAAAAGAGCACAGTTCCGTTAGTTCATTACATGCTAGCATGTTATTTATTCAAATATGAGCATGCATGTAAGATGAAAATGGGGTCTTGAGACTGATTTATTGGAATAATTGCGAGCTTCGTCATAACCTGGCTTTTTAAACCAACTTTGAAAAACTACCTCAATAGTGTCAGGTGCTAACATTAAAATATCCCTTATACATATATGTATATGTGGTCATGACAAAAAAACAATAATTGTGACCAAACAACACAAGCCTATACGGTGTATTACGTGTTTAGTTGTCTTTCACTCTCTCTTTTGTTTTTTTGTTTTTGTTTTGTTTTTTTAAGCGATTTAAAAAATGTGTATGGTGGATCAACGTGAGGGATGTTTCAGCATGTAACAAAATTGCAGGGGACCAAAATAAATATGATTTGAAAGTTTCCCTTTTTAAAATGTAGTGATAAATACTCATCAGCTTTTAGAGGTTCATTAAAATAATTTTCCACTGTAGCTTGTGAGTGGAAATGGAGCTGGTCTCAGATCCTCTGGTTGTAGCTATGGAGAACAAATCAGAGTTCAGGCCAAGATAATTGCCAAAACATGGTTTTGGAGTTGGTGTAGTCCTTTTCTGGACCTGGACTGAGTTGAGTTCATCTGTTCTGTGGCAGTGTCATCCTCATGTCCATCACTAGCATTGTGCCATATTATGGATAACATACTGGACATAAAAATGTCCAATGACCACTGCTCTGTGTTTAATGAATGTTCGGGGAAACTGACAACATTTTCTTATGAAGCAGCTTGTCAACCCGTTTCAAATGGCAATTTAATCATCATTGAGCTTTACTGTCTTTGGAGTGCTAGCACTCTACTTGATTCTTCTACTTGATTTATATCCAGTATTGCAATAAAGATGTTTTCTCACTCATTAGATCCTGATCTGTTTGATGAAAGTTCCATGACAAGTCTGCGATAAGCTATTTGTATTTGAACGTTGTCATGTATGACTTCGGAGTGCTATTCATTGCAATTGACGTGTATTTACCTTGCTACATTTTATGAAGGGAATTCAATTTGGATCTGATGTCTCTCAGACTCTGATTGAGGATGTATAAACATCCGAATACACTGGCATTTGAGTTTCTTGAGAGAGAAATATTAAGGTACAAAAAGGTTGTATGGAAATCATTCAGATTCTTGTTTTTCATCTGTGAGCTTAAAAACGTCCAGCGTGTATTTGTCGTGTATGTGTGCCTTTTTAAAATCTCTCCCACCCCTGATCAAGGGACTATCCTTTTAATTTGTTACTCAGCACCACATTGAATAATTTGTACATTTATCATGCAACCTTGAGTGAATGCTGCAT